TATCATGACCCCACCTCATTTACAGCATTAAATGCTCCTAATATGTGATCTTACCCCAGTTAATGACCGTCTTCAGTCTTGACAAAACATTACTGTGAGGATTTGATCGCATTCAGTCACAAGAACATTAGCGAGGTCAGGTACTGATGTTGGATGATCAGTTCAGGATCACTCCCAACTCATCCCAAAGGAGCTCCATTCCTCCAGAGACTGCTCCACAGCCCAATGCTGGGGGGTTAAGTTTGGCACTGAGCGTGGTGACCTTTGGGTCATGTGTATCTACTCCAGAACGTCTCATTCTAGTGGTCAATGCTTTTCTATGGAGACTATACATGCTGTGTGTGTACAATTGAACACCTGTGTCAGCAGTGGGGTGTCTGGATACTTTTGGATATAAATTGATGTAGTACCTCCTGCATTAGCAACAACCTCTATGAAACAGTCACATAGAAGCACATCAGGTATATTTAATTCACTGTCATGTTTACAGAATTTCACTGGGAGAAAAAATAACATGTTGTGGTTCATGTCACATCTGATAAACCTGTGTATCATCTAGAATCAAGTATAGTTTTTGGGAGATTTGGTACTTCCCAGTTTCAGAAAGTACCCGAGTGCAGCATTATACACCCTCCACCATGCTTCACAGTTGGAATGAGGCAGATCTCTGCATATTCTCTATATACAAAGAGGACAAAGAGCTTCAACTTTGTGGTCTCAACCCAGACTGGTATCTGGTGTAACATAACCTTCTAAAAATTTAGCTCATCAGTTAATCCAAAATAAAATCATCCGCAGATATTATTATATAGACGTCACAAAATGGGACTGATTCCTAATTACAACTGTCATTTCTGTTCTGCACATACACCACGCACTTTTCTACACATGTTCTGGGAATGTGAGCCCATACTTTTGCAAATTTGTTAATAAGACTTCAGTGAAAGTCACCGCGACCCAGAAGGATAAGCGGTTTAGATGATGGAGGGATGGATGGACTTCAGTGAAAATACTAAATCTTATTTATTCCCAAACCTGCCTCTTTATTTAATTAATGCTGGAGAAATTTTTACACTGCATGCTATTCTCTGTTTTTACTGCAGCTAAAAAGTAGATTATTAAATGTTAGTTTACTCCTAGTTTAAATTTACAAAGGTTTTGGATTCTTACACTGGACAGAATTGTGACCCGTGAAGGTATGACTGCAAGAGTGAACAAGGCCCAATCAAAGGCTATACAAGCTCGGTCTGAAATGGCATCTGCTTTTGGAAATTTTGTACAGGCATTCTTATAGTACTGTTATCTCTGTAGTAAAGAAGATTTTAGTACGCATGTATCTACATCGGTACACTTTTTTAAGACTGCCCCTTCAAACCACCCCCCATTTTTCCTTAACTGTCTACTGTTACGGGTCAACTATTTACACGTGTGAACAAAACTCAATAAAAAAATTGATCGCAAAAAACAGTTGGGATCAGCCTTTGGTGTGCCTATGCAGTATTATGTATTTTCCCCATCAAATACATGGCTTATGTTTACCAAAAAGTTCAGCTTGTTTTTTTGGAGCAGGGCTTTCCTCTGTGGTAACATTCTATGAAGGTCACTCTGTTTTTCTCAGTAAGACAACAGATGCCTACATAACTCTTTCACTTGTTTGAGGATTCTGTGGGATGCCCTTATACTGATCTTTGTAGGACACTCGCTCTCAGCAAAAACTATGAAAAACTATCTACCTGTCTTTAGAAATCCTTTAGTAACTGTCCAGTCTTGAGAGCTTTTCTTCTGTATCAGCCCATGATGCACTTGACATCCATTTGGTTGTATTTACCTTTCTAAGCATTTAGTTCAATAAAGATAATGCAATGTAAAAGTTTGAGTGTTGGTTGTTCAGTAATATCTTTATTTTCTTGTGACTTAAAAGAACAGTGTAGGTATATTTGTACAATTTGTGCACAATGCAACTGTAATGCAATACAAATGTAGCAGTTGTGAGGTTGAAAAAAAAATCCCATTCAATCTAATGAGAAATTGCAGATCACACTTTTTTTGTTAAAATACCTAGAGTGAGGGGAAAACATTCAAACACGTTTTTTGTGCTTTTACTTTTGTTAGTTGACTTCCAGTGCACGTATCCACTTTGCTGCACAGCCATTGTTGGCAATGAGAGCTTCAAGATGTCTATGGTAAGAAGTAATGAGCTTTTGGCAGAGTCCTGGTTCGGTTTTGGCCCATTGTACTTGGCAAACTGTCTCAATTCTCCAAGGTTAAGAGGGTTGGTCCCGCAATTTCAAAATCCTTCATGCTTTTTCAATGGGATTCGAGATTGGCTAGGCCATGCAAGCACCCACATCTGTTTTAGAAAACAGTCTTGAGTGGTTTTAGCTGCATGTTTAGGATTATTGTCTTGTTGAAATGTCTATTTCTCCCCTTTCTTCATCAATAACATTAAATTCTCCTCTAATATCTCGATTAACTGTGGTTCTATGAACTTTCTAATTGCATATTATTGAACCAAACATACCGACAGGGATGTTTAAAGTCTTTGTTATGGCTCTGTAACTTTTCCATATGATTTCCATATGATATGAATTTTCCCAACCAATCGTGCCATCTTTTATAATGACAGCAGATGCAATTTGCACAAGAACACTACTTTTTTGTTCCAATTAGAAGAACAAAGTCAAAAAACAACATTTGTATATTTCCTCTCATGGGGTATTTATTTAGAGTGCACTATTCATTTCAATGATATTTTGTATGCGTGTGAAAAGGATAGATCAGATTTTTTATGTGTGAAGTTTTGAGCGATAAGCATCTCTTTGATAGGCTGAGCAGAAAGTTAATCTGTTTTAAACGCTACAGTGATTGCTATGGAATTTGCCAACTGTGACACTTTCCCGCCCCCTGATGTGTACTGAAATTTTTCACTAGGGTTTATGTTCTGTAACACTTGTCCAACTTTCCAACAAAGCTGGTCAATAGTGCATTAGTGGGTGGAGCATGGAGGGGTCAGTTCCAATGGGCTCGCAAAAGTTTCTTGCGACTAAAATTTGCCGAAACAGTTCAACATTTTGAGTAATTTGGATGAGTACATTCATCCAGTGCTGGTCCTGGAGTACCCCTGTACTGCAAAAACACCTAGTTTACTTTAATGAAGGGCTTCTTGATGAGCAGAGTTAATGTGTTGGAAGAAGAGACAACACTTAAATGTGCAGTTCAGGGTTACTGAAGGAGCAGGATTGGGAAACACTCACCTAAACTTAAAGGCCTTTCAATAGTAAGATCCTCAGACAGTGATTTTTTCGTCCAACACTAAGCTTGTCCAGAAAACTGGTCCTCAAAGTTAAAGCCATACGATGGTGTGAGAAGGAAACGGAAGGAACAAGACTATTTTGAAAATCAACCGCTGATGGTTTTAGAGGATGGCCGGCCTTTTGTGCTTACGCCATCCCTGAAAATAGCAACTTCTCCCTTAAGTCATCCTTCCATCTCACATGGGGGAGGTCTAATCAAGGGCCCTTCCTGGGGGTCATCCCAAAGGTGGAATGAACCCTTAAGCTTTGGGATCTTTATGTAAAAAATGATTACTCATTTAGGTGCTTATATGATTCATTCTGAAAGTGTTTTTCTGTCATGTGAGGGGGATTGTGGTGGTTTCCTCCTCAACACGTGACAGACGTAGGCTATGTGTGAAAAGAGGAGTACAAAGGTGGAAAAAAAAGCCACCCCCTCTAAAACGAACACGGCTTTGAAGACGGTAACATTGTCTTCGGGGCCGTTTCATCGGCACATTAGGATGTTTGTGCATTGTTGTTGGTGTAAGCACACATAAAGGGACAAAACAGGTTATGATTGTGAAATGGAGCTGACTGCTGTGTATGGCTGTTGCGGGCTGATGATTGTATGACAACACTTCCTTCATTGCTACTCAAGGCAGACTAGAGGAACAACGCTGCTCAGGGCCTGCCTGTAGGATACACAGCAACAAGCAAGCAAATCCTACAAGTCACTTCTTTGCAAGCCATTAGATGAGGCAATGTACTACGATACAGTGATCCACTGCTGTCCTATTGAGAAAAACATTACAAAGGTCATAACTGTTCAGATGGTGAGAAGTGGTGAAAAGATTGTAACTTTCATAAAATCTGCATCTGAAAATTTCACATAAACTTGTTTGGGAACGTGGACATTTCAAATGAGGGCTTGTTAAAGGGTAACCAATCAGAGGCTTGGTGTAAAATACACCACTGTCGAGAAATTTGGTCACAGTTGTTCAGAGTGGAGGTGACAGGAACCATCTTAACAGTTTAATGCCTCTAAAAGCTCCCTCACAAAAAGGTATTACATGAAATGGCTATGAATACCCTGCCTGATGACTGAGACATTATTTTACAATAGTTTTGAGATAAGATTTTGGCCTAAAATGTACTTTTTGGCACAATAGTATTTAGTATTAAAATTTGGATTTATCAGTACTTCTATATGTACATTTATAAAACATGTCGCTGCCGTCAGAACAAAACCTCCATCTACAAAATGATAACTTTACAGGAGAAGGAAAAACCTACTTTACTTTTAATGTAAGTCAATGGAACCAGGTGTTTTTTTCCAAGTAATTTTGGGCCGTTGGCCCAATCATCATGAAATTTACATACAATGTATACGGCATTTTCAAATTGTCAAAAATGGAGATACAAGGTTTTGTTCCGAGTGCAGTGATATAAAAACTCAAGACATGTAGGCTCGCTGGTTGTTTTAGATAGTACATAAAAGGGCTACATTTGTGTTGCATTGTAATTTTCGGTTCCTATCACCACCACTATAAAGAAATCAGGCAGTAAAACTCACATTTATCCACTCGGAGTGATTTCTTTTTAACTTCATAGTTTAGATAAAGAAATGTTGAGAAATCCCCCTTAAGTGTTTGAGTAAATGTCAAGTTAAAACAAGAACTATAGCGCCCCCTTCTGGTAGGTATTCATTAAAAAGGATATGTCATGTTAAGTAACAAGTTTTGTTCAAATTTTATTGGTCAACATTGTCCAACCCCTTCCCACAAACGTGTCAACGTTGTGGTGTTCTTGCAAAACAACCAACAAAATTATGAAGAGAAAATAAAAGACTATTCGTAAGACACTGACACAAAACAATTCTGGATGAAACAATGAAGCAAAAGAATATCACAGCACTATGTATAGTTGTAGAGCAGAAGTTACCAATTCACCCCATAAGGAGCTCCAGCTGATCTCCATTCTATTTTTTCCCCACCTGAGCCAAGTAACCACATACTGTAAACATGTTTGCCTGGCTCAGGAATCTAAAACTGGAATTTTTCACAAATGGACTGGCTCAAATTACGTTCTGTTGATTTTCTGATTGTAATTAGTCCACACCCTCTACAGAGGTCATACTTCTGCACATTTTAAGGCACAATTACTGTTTATTTGCTAAATTTAACATGTTTGAGAAAAACAAACATAAAATGCCTGTGCAAATGTTATGGCATATTTTATGTTTTTTCCAATATTCTAAACTCAGTAAATAAATAAAAATTGTGGACTAAAATCTGCAGAAAAATTCCACATTTAAGTTTGTTCCCTGTAGAGGATGTATCCAGTTATTTTCACTTAGAAAATCAACAAAACATGTAATTTGACTGGGGCTGACGACTGTAGAAGGCAAGATCCACAGCTATCATTGTGTAGCAGAAGAACTTGGGATGTGATGTCCAAACTGGGCTGCGTTTCACTTTTATGTCTTGACTGCTGTGTCTCTGGACCTGTAGATGACCCCTCTGCTCTTCAGTTCTCGAACCACTCCTAATACACAGATTATGAAGAATGGCTTACCATTTAAAACAGAATATGATTCAAGACTCTCATAGATAAGATCTAATTTATCCTCAATTATTTTTAGGATTTGTGTAGTGTACACTTGCATGTGTTTTATAATGATCTGAACTAAACTAAATGTCTATGCCTTGTTTAAAGTTTTTTACGATATAAAAGATTTTTAAATGAACATTCCTCTATGAACGGTTTACTTCAGGATTCAAGTGTCCTCATCTAAGAAATCAAACTCTAACCCTAATATTGCTCTATCATTTTCAACAGTACAAGGGAAGGTAAGTACTATGGAGGAGTATTATGTTATGATCAATGTTCCTGATCAAAGCTTTAACTTACCTGGAGGTAATCGCCCAGTTACTGTTACAGCGTACACACCTGGCTTGAAATTTCCTGAGAAAGAAAACAATGGAGAACATTCATTAATCTAGCACTTACAATCACTCAGCAGTCACCATGTAGGTCAAAATGACAGTCACAGAGAAATGTATGTATTCTTACCTATTCTTTGCCATTTAGCTACCCAACTGTCTTCAGGGCTCATCATGGCAATAACACTATGAATAAAAAAAACAGTAATCAGTATTATTAGAATAGAGTAATGTCACACAAGAGAAATTAAACTGAACCATTTTATGCATAAATTACTTTTAAAAATCCAGACTGAGAACAGATTAAAGCACTACTTATTTTTTTCTAAATATCCGTTTTATTTTGAAGTTGCTGAAATGTGCACGTATGTAGACACAATGCATGTTTATATGTATCACCGCCTTTCTCCTATCACACTCTGTACCACGTGCTGTCATATACACACACACACACACACACACACACACACACACACACACACACACACACCCCTTTACCGATAAATATCAGCTGATATGAGCTAGTTGCAGATAAATAGCTATCTGCATTTTTAACAGCTGATAAATGACAATTAAAAAAAAAAAACAGAAAGATGGAAGACAGATCTTTCAACCACGTTATAAGTGTTGTCGTTGCCTAGTCTGTCTTTTGGAAGGTGCTCTGCAACTTCCCTGCTGACAACACACATTTGTGGAGGGCCACAAATCACAACAATCAGCTAACCAAGCAGAGTCATGCAGATTAACTTTACCCCACGAAAGAGGTTATCAGTGTTCATGTTAAGTTGGTAACTGTCACATGAACTACATTCCTTAAATAATAATAAAAAATATCCCCATCATTTCTTCTCTTAGCGTAAATAAGCCTAGCAACATTCATGTCAGCCATGCCTGCTTCTACTGCAGTAACGTGAAAGCTGTTACTGTCAGGCAAACATGACCAGTAGCCTACGTTGTACGTTACAGTCATTGAGTGGTGCAGGCTAAGCTTTATTTATGATACAGTCTGGCAGTTTTATTGAGTAAACAAACAAACTGTCCTCTCTTTTCTCCCTTGCTCGTCATTTCTAAAAATTCTCTGGCAACATCGCTTACAGCAGCTTATAACACTATTCACGGCTAAATTAGCTTACCCACAAAGCTCACTAATGCTATGTTTCTCAGTGAGAAAACAACTAACAGCAATGAGCAGTTAAACTATAGCATTTAATTTATTCTGCCTAAATGATGAAGCTGAAACCAGCTTCTTTCATGCCAGGTTCTTGTTTGAATTTTCCTGTTCCACTTTAAATGGTGCAACAGTTAGACTCTGGCTCATCAGATGGTCTGTTGTTTCATGGTCCCAAATTTGTTAACATGTTATTTACCAAAAAAAATGGCGTCAAATCAACTGTGCATGTGTGGACACCATGCATTAAAGGGTTAAAAGGGGAACTCCACTGATTTTTCAAAACTTCAGGGATTATTTCATCATTAAGATGTAAACAAAGTCATTCAGACTGATTTAATGTGAACTGCCCCGTTTTAGACAATTTACTCACTTGTTTACAGTGACAGGAACCAGACGATTAAGGAGTTTAAATGGCTCTAAAAGCCACAGAAAGTTATGACATGGAATGGTCACAAATACGCTGTCTGATGCCTGAGACTGTTTTATAATAATTTTAAGACAATGTTTTGGCTTATAACATAACAGAAAATAATATTAGTTTTATATATTCATGTCAGGGAAGTTCATGCGTGGTGTTCTAAGGCAAAATAGTACCCAAAGAATTTGTATTTTTCCAGATATTCAAGTACTTCAGTAGATTCACTGGTTATTTAAGGTTAAATAAAATCGCTATATTTTCACTGTAGGCTTTGCGACCCCTGGTTCATTTATGTTTTATGTTTGTTTTTCTGTAACTCACCATTTCACATCAAAACACTCAATGAATTTGTTCAAATCTCAACAATTTAACTATACAGAAAGTTTTGAAAGATCTCTGAAATTGCCTTTAAAAACACCACTGCTTACCCATCGAAGGACGAGCTTGTGCATTCATAAACCATCTCGCGGTTGCCCTTCATTTGTAGATATGCCTCACAGTTATCACAGCCATCGTATTCAAACTGGTCAATAGTCTGAGGACAGAGAGAAAGAAGACTGTGTGTTCACTTTGTATGAGTCAATAAAACCTGTGCCTGCAGTAAAAATCTGTACTGTAACAAATTTGCAAACAAAACTCTTAACTAGCTGAGTCTGAAACACATGGAAGCCCTTTTCTACCACTGGAAAAAATACATAGCCCTTAATAAGCCATAATAATGAGAAGGTTTTCCATAATTTTAACTAAGTATCTCAATTATGAAATAACATCTCTTAACAATAAGATCGTATCTCACATTTACGACCTCACTGTAGTATCTCATAAGAAAAAGATTCTACTTCATGTTATGACTTAACATCTCAATTATGATTTAGCATCTCATGACGGCGACATACAATGTCATCATTATGAAATATTATCCCATAATTATGACATAGTACCTCATAATAATGAGATTCAATCTCTCTCGTGATAATGACTATATCTTAATTATGACTTGGTATCTCAATTATGACTTAGGATCTCATAATTATGACTTCCTCATAAATATGATATATTACCATCTCATAATCACGATTTATAATGTCATCATTACGATTTACTGTCCCATAATTATGACATAGATTGAATCTCATTATTAAGAGGTACTATGTCAAAATAAAGACTATATCTTAATTACGACTTAGTATCTCAATTATGACTTACCATCTCTTAATTATGACTTACCATCTCATAATCACGATTTACTTTCTCACATTATGACCTGCTTTTTTATAATGTTGAGAATTTGAGAATAGTAGCTAAGTAACTGTGAGATACAAGAGATACAAGAATTATAACTTACTAAGTAAACGACTTTTCAAGTCTTTTGTCGTAACCAGGCGCCTAGAACTGGAAAGCGAGCTAAGAAAGTACAATACTACCGACCACAGCTCGCATCTGTGCTCACAAACAAAGCCTGCCTGGCTAATCAGCTAATAACTAAACATCTACGGTTGGAGAGATAATAAACGTTAATGTGACAACATGATATATGCCTCTTTTGAGTGCGAGCAACACTACTCGGTTTAAAGCAACATTTCTCAATTCATAAGTCGTTTATTAGCCAGCCCGGCTGAGTTAGCTGAGTAGCTAACCTAGCTAACTGGCTATCCAGAGAGAGGAGAGCTGAACTATGAACAACGTTACCGTTACCTTGACCAGAGAGCACAGCAGACAAGCCCGCAAATGGCGAAGGTCCTTGGGCACAGTCTCCAAGGACATTATGAGCACTTTTACGGAAAAAACCCGAAATTAATCCACTTATTCTGAGTAATGTTTTGATCTGGTGAACGTTAGCCTGCTAGCCTTAGCCCACTTCGCCTTTCTGGAGCCTGTAGATGATGTCATACACATGCGCCGATCCTCCCTTACAGGCTACGTTCACACACGTGACTTTGGCTCTGGTAAAACATCGTAAAGACGCGTTCAAGGTCTTCATGCGGGCTTATGTTTCTCACAGTTTTTAGCTTCTATCTTTCCTCCTCCCTTTCTCTCTCTCATGATAATGACTGTATCTTAATTATGACTTGGTATCTCATAATTATGACTTAGTACCTCTTAAATATGATATATTACCATCTCATAATCACGATTTATCATGTCATCATTACGATTTACTATATAATTATGACATAGATTGAATATAAACGATTATAAACGTGAGCATTTCAAAAGAATATAGTTTGCAATACATACATTTGATTAAAGGACACCAGAAAGCATTGCTTTCTATATGACTTTAATATCGGAATGATAACAAGGGACATCCGGGGCTTTGGCCGAACAACCTCTTTGGCACTTTAAAGGGGGATTTCATAATTAATTGAGCAATTCATTGTGTAATTAGATAAATAACATGTAAGAAAAGTCATTCAGAGTAGTTTGATGTGAAATGTATCATTCTAAAGAAACCATGTCAAACTTGTTCACAGTGGTGGAGATGGGAATCAAGCATTTAATCTCTCTAAAAACTACCACTCAATTACTACTTTTTACTTTTTTTTGTAAACCAAAATGATATATAAAAACTCATGTCACAAGCATATTACAGTTAACTAAAACTATTACTAAAACGAAACTGGCAGTGAAAAAACATGCTCGTTAAATGAAATAAAACTGAAAACTACAGTTCTCGAAAACACGAACACTCAATCAAAACTATAATGTCCACTGCAAATCTAACAAAAACTAAATAATTACTGAGTAAAATCATTTTTTTCAGTGCATGGATGAGAGTTTAACTGAAACTAAATAAAATGAAACTAAATCTTTACTTTTCAGATATTAAAAACAAAACCAAAACTATTACTAAAAATAAAACTAAAAATAATAATGAAATAAAAAAATGGCTACATTTATGTTTAGACATTGTGATTCCTGGTTCCTATCCACTGATGGTGTGTCATACTGATTTACACATTAGCTAGCAAGCTAACAGCAGATGGCTGTATGATCTTAACCAGTATTATTGGTTGCTGTTACATTATCAAGCTATAGCGCTGTTACTACAAATACAGCTGTCATTATAAGTTGCACATACCAGAAACAGCCTTTTGCTCTGGGGCCGACTCTGAAGACTGACTATTTCTTTGTTTTTTACCTACATGTCTATGATATCAGTGCTGTGTTAGTACAACTACCAACTTGCACACCCAATGAAAAGCAATTCAGGCCTACTTTTCACATATTTAACAAGCTTAAGACACTGAAAATCTATGGTTAAACACAATTAATACTAAAAGTAAGTGGTTTAGTGTTAGTAATTAACATTAAATTGATTTTTGCTGGTTATTATTTAGCCTCAGCCCTTAGCAATTACCAGGTATTTGTTAATTGAGTGTCCTTACTAAGATTGTTTAATATCCATCAGCCTTTATCTCAGATACTAGTAAGCAACTACAATAAAAAACTCTTGTACAGACTCTTGAAACAGACATATTGTATTCTTCTTTGCTGTTTCACAGATTAATGATTGTGTGTGTGTGTTTGTGTGTGTATATCTGCACTGTGATATACTGGCAACCTGGCTGGGGTGTTGACTGCCTTAGATAATGTGTGTGTGTGTGCGTGTTTGTGTGTGTCTACTGTGCCAAGTGTTTGTACAGTACAAATGCATGAAATCAAATATTGACCATGCAATCTATATCAAATGGCCTTTCATAAACTCCTAAACGCTCATATAGACTTCAAATAGTCTGTCACATTATTAAAGTGGGATTCCACCAACTTTTCCAATTTTTTGCATAATTAAATGGTTGAGATGTAAACAAAGCCATTCGGTTTGGTTTCATGTGAAATGCTCGGTTCTAGAGAAATCTACCAAGTCAGAATTGTTCACAGTGGTGGTGAGAGGAACCAGACATCTGAAGAGTTTAATGCCTCTAAAAGCTCCATCACATAAAGCTACACTCTTAAAAAGATGGTTCCTTAAGGGTTCTTTATTAAAACAGTGATTCTATACAGAACCATGAACACTCAAAGAACCGTTTGCATGATTAAATGGTTCTTGGCGTCATGAAATGTTCTTCAGATTGGTGGAGAATGTGTTGTATGTGGTTCTATATAGAACCTTTTTGAAAAGGGTTCCTCTATTGGTACAAGCTTGACATCATAACAATAAAAGAAACTTTTGTTTGTGGTATATAGGACCATTTTCAAAAAGGTTCCATACAGAACCATACACAGCACATTCTCCATCAATCAGAAGAAACGTTCATGATGCAAAGAGCCATTGGCCTAAAACACACATATTTTAAAATCCTTTCATGGCAGAGAGGTGCAGACACTGTGTGTAATAGTACCTGAGGTGAGTGATATGGCAAAAAATACTATATCACAATACTTCAAGGCCACCGCGACCCAGAAGGATAAGCGGTTTAGATGATGTATGTATGTATGTAATACTTCAAGGCATTGAAATTTCAAATTTTCTGCATAATTAAATGCTTTACATGTCAACAAAGTCATTGAGAGTATTTTGGTGTGAAACGCTTCGTTTTAGAGAAAGTCAGAATTGTTCACAGTGGTGGTGATAGGAACCAGACGTCCACCTCTAAAAGCTTCCTCACAGAAAGTTATTACATGAAATGTTTATGAATGTGCTGTCTGGAGTCTGAGACATTGTTGTACAGCAGTTCTGTGATAAAAGTTTGGTCTAAAATGTATTTTAATCCGGGGGGAGCCTATCCCAGCGGTCATAGACCATTGTAATCGTGTTCTCATTTTGTAATCGGCGCCATGCTCTTATGCCCATATTAGGAACTCCGGGTCTAAGCCCCATTTCTCTACGGCCAGGATGAATAGGGTTTTAGAAAAATCGCCTCTATCGCCCCCTGTGTTAAATAAAAATGTTCAGAGCCCGATACGTTTTGTCCTGTGAACATTTTTCTCTCGAATATCACTGGATCCTCTGGAACCTGGAATCCACTGGAACCTGGATTACGAGGTCGTTAAAGATTTGAAATATGAATATTGCTACATGTGAGCTAAAGCTACTGCGCACCGAATTCACGTCATTAGACTGGCAGCCTCCCTAAGCTTTGTCAGTGTACATTTCCATTTACAGACTGAGGGCAGATGAAAAGAAGTCAGAACAAAACCATCAGGTTTCCCTGCAGTTCTCTGTTCTTCATCTGATGCTCACTGAAACACGATAGATCTATCCTTTTAGCTTGATTTGAAAAGATCTACAGACGTACCTGCACTCAGGCGAATCCAGTACAGACTCAGCTTAACATCACTGCTGACCCCCTGATAAACTGATACAGGCTATCGGAATATCCTAATTATTAATTTAATGCTGGTTACATTTTTCTGAGGACATTTTCTCAGGACATTCGCCAGCTTTTTGTTCGACTTTTCCCGTTCCACCTTAAACGGTGCAGCAGTCACGTTCTGAACTGATACGCCATTTAAGGTGGAACGGGGAAATTCGAACAAGCAGCCGGCGAAAAAGAAGCTGACTTCAGCTTCATGGAGGGTTGAAAGGCCTGATATGAGGAGGTTTCACTATTTCCGCTTAACAGCTGAGCGACATTAACTTATTTTTGCTGTTTCACAGAACCGACAGGTCAGTATTTCGTCTCGTTTGCTAATGTTTTTGCCAGGTAGTCACAGCTGCTGCACCATTTAAGGTGGAACGGGAACATTCAAACAAGAAGCTGCGAAAAAAGAAGCTAAATTCAGCCTCGTAGTTTAAACACGGGCAGTATTTTTGATAAGGAGTATTAGTCTATCAAAATATCCCACCCAGAGGTTTTATTTACGCGTATACTTGTACTTATGTGCTACAGTATAACATTTCGATAAGATACCACAGCTCGTCAGAGCTCCGCCACAGCCTGCCTTAGTTTCGCGTAGCTTAGTGACATCAAATTAATGCGCAGTAGCTTTAGCTCGTATGTAGCAATATTAGTATTATAGCTCTTTCCGACCTCGTAATTCGGAGGATCCAGTGGTATTCGGGAGAAAAATGTTCACAGGACAAAACGAATCGGGTTCTGAACATTTTTATTTAACACAGGGGGGCGATAGAGGCGATTTTTCGAAAACCCTATTCATTCTGGCCACAGAGAAATGGGGCTCAGACCCGGAGTTTCTAATATGGGCATAACGAGGACTACAGAATGACGACACGACTACAGCGGTCTATTGGGCAGAAGGCAGGAAGTACAAGGATAAAGAAAAATTATTTAACAAATAAAAGTTAATTTATTTTTAATTAATTCAAATAAAACGTGTACACACATTTAACATTCATACATATGGCAATACAAACATAATGGAGAGCATCAAACCAATCTGAATGAGTTGTTTATCTCTCAAGCCCTGAATTACACAGAAATGATGAAAATCGGTGAAATTGCCCTTTAAGGACTGTGTTTTATGTGGATATGCGGCGTCTCGCGCGGCAGTTTGTGTACTTTAGAATTTAAATCATGCGTAACGGTTCGGGAACATCAACGGTTCTGAGACGAAAGCAGAACTCCAAACGGAACCCAACAAGAGGTAACCTACATATGAATTGTTCCAGGAATTTGGAATAAAATTATTTGGGAATGACTGGCCCTAAAATTCCTCCGGACGTGTCCTTAGTTTCATTTTAGTCCGATTAAATGACTCGCTGGTCAGATAACTGACGTTAGCTAACTTCGACGGTTCACTTCGCTAACGTTAGGCTTAACGGCTTAGCCACGGTCAGCTTGTTACGGTTAGTGCAAGGTTTCAACTGTTACAGCCTAGCCACTGTGTTTTTGCTCAGTTAACGTGACTTATCTAGCTATTTACACTCTTAAAAAGATAGTTCTTCAAGGTTCT